TTAAAATCAAGAGGAGTTCCAAAAAGGTAAGTTCCAAAATATAAAAATAGAGAATTAACAGTTTTGCTCTACTTCAGAACTAGTCAGGGTGTAAGAAAGAATCAAAGATGCAGTGCACAGAGGCAACGAGGACAACAAATGTAAAATGCTTGGAAAAGTACATTCTGTGTTGTTAACCACAACCTCTTACTCATAGATATGACAATTTCAAGGGCTTCATTATTATTTGATACATAGTTTTCCCCAAATAAATATATATGCATATTTATTCAAAATACTAACTTGACTGCTTTTTGAAATTGGACTTCATAGATGAAAGTCTAAAGTTATGTGGAAAAACAAACAAGTTATTTACTATGTTATTGAAGAAAATAATTAAAAGGAAAAATTGATGTAAAAACATACCATATCTTTTAGGCATGAGCTGAGACATAAACGGGGCATAACAGATAAATAGAATAGACTAGGCACCTTTATAAAACCTTAGAGATATTCATGAAAGTGATAAACCCTTGTAATGTAATTAACCAAAGGGAAGATTGTGCTATATTGTTGGAAAGCACTGACAAGGTAGTTAAAAAATAAATTAAGCGTTCCTTATTGTATATTGAGTACGACAGTAATCTCAAAGAATTAAAAATCTGATATAAAAACAATCACAGTTAAAAGTTAGACTAACACAAATTAAGCAAAAATGCAAAGAGACAAAGTAAAATAAGATGTATGGTAGTCGACTACATTAATTTAATAACTTTTGTATACCAAACCTAACAAAAACCTCAAAAATTTTTCTCAAAATCTTTGAAACAAATAGGTAATTGAAAAAACTATCACTGATAAGTATAATTGAATTGACAAAATCTCTTCAATTCAAAAATTTAAATAGCTTTTGCATTTTTTGAAATAGACGAATGGGAAATTCATTTATAAATAAATATCAGTGGTGAATAAACAAGCTCACTTTACTAATCAAACTGACAAATTTAATCACATAATACATATCAGGTGCATTAAAAAGACACATACATCTTAAAAGATAAGAAAGTGTTCTAGAGGATGGAAGAAATCGGAGACTAATAAGGAAGTCTTTTCTCCCCAGGATCACTCAAACAATATTTTTTTTGCAATGATGAAATGTGAAGAAAACAAGGAAAACCAGGGCAACGTCAGGTATTAAAGTTGTAGCTCATTGTAGCAGTACAGGAAATAGGTGATTCAGGTGTTATTGGGACATAGAGCTAAATAGGATGAAGGAAAAGAGTGAACTTTAATAAATAAGACAATATCTCAATTACTAATTGTACTAATTGTAATCCTACTACAAGTAGGCCTAAAGGAGTTGAAGAAATACTGATTTTCAGGTGAAGCGCAGGGCTGGAATGTGGTTGTTTAGGGCAACAGACAAGAAGAAGGATGGCGTTAGGGAGGATAGAGGGCTTTCAATAACAGAGGAAATGATCTTCTTAAACCCTGACGGAAAACAATCAGGAGAAGCATAGAAGTTGAAGCCATAGGAAAAATGAGGCTAACTTATGAAATGAGGTCACTTATTTTTTTTCCAGGATTTGATGAGGTGGAACAGCCTTAGATATGAGGACGTCTTCTCCCCTGTGGCATAGGGAAGGAAACAAGAATTTCTCTGTGGATGTGTTCTCTTTTTGTTCCTCCATTCTCCTTATTATGCTTGTAAAATCTGATGCATTTTATAGGTATTTAACTACTTAGGAAATAATAATCAAAAGATTGCTGATTAGAAATGAAGCCAGAGTAAGAAGATGCTATGACTTGTATCTAGGTGTCTATCCAAAGCCTCATGTACACATACGTAGCACATTTTGGAAGTGGCTAGATCTAGGGAATGTCAGTATGGATTAATGGTATGTGATCACTACACTGATCTAGCACACTTGTGAGCGGGCATAATGGAAGGCCCATCCTGGGTGTGGGTGACACCAACCAGTAAGCCTGTAGCCCAGATGGAATTTCAGGGAAGGCAGGCTTTGGTGCCGCTGCTTTCTGCCTGCCCTGCCGTTGAGTATTTCTCTTCTGAGATGCCACTGTGCCATACTGCCCTGCCTTACAGCCAGCAGACAAACTTAGAGCTAAAGTAAACTTTTCCTCCCTTAACTCTGGGAGTCTAATCAATGAAAAAGTAGCCAGGACAGAGGGTTAGATGGCCCTTGGGAATGTTGTGTTCAAGATGTGGAGAAGAAGCCAGTGGAGCTAAATGAGTGTCTAAGACTAACAGTTTCTCTCTCTTAGGTGTTTTAGCTGCTGAACACTCTCTTTCTCTTTTTTTCTAGTAATACCATTTTTCCTAAGAATGTTAATTAGTTTGTCTTTAGCTCACTCAACTATAAGTTGCTTAAACTTGCTTTTCTCTTAACATTCCTTTAGCAACTTTATCATATTACTTCAGATTTTTGGTTTTTCATTTTTATTCATAGTTTAGTCCTTAGTGGTTTGTCTTTCTATTGTATATTTAACTTGAAGTTTCAGAAGTTCCTTGTTAGCTACAGTGATATGTTTTTATTTAACCTCAGCAAACCTGGCAGTAATTAGTTTCACATGAGTTCAAAAGATGATCAGGCTACAAAATTTGGTCTGATGCAGAAATCATGGTCATAACAACGCTCCATCTAATATGGTGTGCATCTTTATAGGTAAATTCTCTCTCTTTTACGCCTTCAGGGTTCTGAGAACTCATTACCTTTTGGTGCAAATGGTGTTTATTTTGTAAATCTATTATTAAGCATTCTCCAAAGACACAAAACTAATAGGACAGAATTTGGTGATATACAAACAGAATATCTATATAGAAAAAGTGTTTATAGCTATATAAAGAAGGCATACTATATGCCCTTCACATAGGAAGTTATTATAAGTTATTGGCTTACCTGATTATGGAGACTAAGAAATTGAATATTCTGCCCTCTGCATACTGAAGACCCAGGAAAACTGATGGTAGAAATAAAGGGATGAGAAGTGGGGAAATAACAATAAGGATTTCATTCTAAGTCTGAAGACTTAAAAGCCAGGAGCACAGAAGGCAGAAGATTGATGTTCCACTTCAGCTGGTCTGTCAGAGAGCGAATTTAGACTTCCTCGGCCTCTTTAGTCTACTCGGGCTCTGATTGTAGTAATGATGCTCAGACACATTAGGGAAGCTCAGTTGCTTTACTCCTTCCACCAAATCTCATAATAATCTGTCCGAGAAAGCACAGGCACATCTGGAAATACTGTTCTACCATCTGTTTGATATCTCATGGCCTGAACAGGTTGACACATACATTCAACCATCATATACAGAAAAGACAAGAATGTTATATCAGGGAAAATCATAGATGAAATCCAAGAGAGACAAAGCAATCAGTTTACTGTGACTCAGCACCTTGCCTTATAAAGTGGACAGAAACATCTATTATTACCATACAGAGGATAAAAAATCAAAGAAAAATATTCTAAGAGAAATGTTGTGCCTTAATAGATTTAAAGCGTCATGGTCCCTGAATGAAGTATCTAGTTTTATATCAGTAACACAATCCCACAAATTTTGGAACCAAGAATAGTAATGCCCACAAAAAAGCTCTGTAGAATTTGAAGTTTCAGAGGAATCTTTGAACCTGAGATGATAAATATACAGTTTTATAGTTGCCATATAATTTGTCAGATAGTAGTTAAAGTATAAAACTTTTGTTTTAAATCTTCTAAGCTGTTTTGAACAAACATGCAGAAAATCAAAGAAGCAGGAGCAAAACCAACTGAAAACAAAAAATCAACTTATGCAATTTAAAACGTTAGAACAACAGTATAGTACTCAGAAAACATTGCATAATTCTAGATTAATAGGATGATACTAATACATAAAAATTATATGAATAAAAAATTACAGTCCAAGCCTGAACCTGCCAGGTTATAGATTGGTAATAGTTCCATTAAAAAATACTTTCAAGTTGACACCGCCAAATAAGTGAACTTTGATTTGAATCAGTGAAATGATTAATAAAAAGTGGAGATTATTCTTTAGATCTTTTGGGACTTCATATACTTGATAGTATTTTCTTTTAATTCAGAGACTTTCAGATGTATTTTGAAGAATTTAAATTATCTTCTTTGCATCTTGAAGAGAAAAAAAACAAAGGAAAGGAAAATACCAGTTAAATTTGCTGTTTGGGATGAAGTTTCTTTTCATTTGCGTTTGTTTGGTGCAATAAAACAAAATATAATTGATATTAACAATGAAAGTAGTACAAGGTAATGGAATAGCTCTTGGAACTCAAGGAATGCCTAGAGAACCAAGCCAAAAGGTGGATCAGAATTCACATGTGATCTTTGCAGGCAATCCCACCGTGATAAATCAGTTCCAACATTTTTCAAAGTTGACTTTCTGCTTAAATTTCAACACCACAGAAAAAGTTTGAACAGTGTGACTGCTGAGAGCAACACTGGTTAGGAATTCCAGAATTGCACCCAGGAGAGGACAGGTAATATTCCAAACGCAAACTGGGATGTTAATATCAGAGCAGGTAGAGCAAGGCACTAAAAGAGAGTAAATCGCCTCCAATCGTACATTGCTACTGATACAAAATTTTAAAAGTAGTTTGAAAAAGTAAGTAGTAGCTGCCACCCGCAAATAATCCCTCAGGTAATACATTACAAGATCAGCAGTGTGCTACAATGATTCTATCTTTCAGCTTTAGGTAATATTGAATTTTATTTTATAGTATGTTCTCCCTTTTTCGAATAAATTAAGGTCCACCTGCTCCACTCTCAAAAACAAATGTGCTTCCAGTGAAAACAAAGATTCCTCTGTTTAGCTCAGTTTTCTTAAGACTCTGTACATGTCTATGATTCTTTAACCATTTTTTGTTTTAAGCTAACTTCCATTCTTTAACATTCAGTAAAACATTATAAAAGTGAAACCAGTTAATGGGAAACTAAATAATTTCTATATCTGGTCTTATCAAGCAGTATTTTAAAAGATTGTATTATTATAATACTAATGATATTACTTGGTAGTATTTGAAACAATTAAAGCACAAGTCTGTCCTGCAGTTACAGTTTCCAGGATACAGTGGACTCACTGGGGGCTGAGGTGAGCACTGCAGCAACACTGCTGAGTGTGCTTTAAACTAACTTGATAGATTAGTAGTGCGTGATGTTTTGGGGTTCTTAATAAATTTTAGTTGTAGGGAATGTGTACAAAGGTTCTTGTCAAGGGGATGTCAGTTTGGCTCTAGGAGGCAAATTTTCTGGTAGTTTCTGTTCCAAGCACGACCTACTTAGTAGCTGTCCCTGTTGCTCAGTGATTGACCTCATCAGCAGCGAGAAGTTGAAGGCAGAGGGAACAGAGAGCAAACAAGTGATCCAAAAGTTATGGGAAGCAGAGAAATCGCAAAACCACAGGGAAAGTTAAGATGAATTATGTCAAAACATAATTGTCTTGAGAGCCAATCAAGTGATTAGTAAAGCACACTTCGTTTTTAAAAAGAAGCTTCCACAAACCATTAGAAGAGTCTGCATATATCTATTCAAAATTTTCTCAGACGTTATTAATAATGAGTTACATTTTGAACTTGTAGGAGGTTTTTATGCGTGAGCATTTGCACTAAAATAAATCTATTTTATTATTCCAAATACCTTCCGGCGTATCTGAGTGGTCATGGACATGTGACATTCTGGTGTGGATCTGGCATCTGGCTCCCCCTTCTATAGCGATTTTCCTGTACTCTTCACCAATTGGCTATGAACTGAATATTCTGAAACCAGAAGCTGTACTAAACATCTTTAATCTGTGAGTGTTGGTTATTTCATCCCAGTGACAAAAGTTGACTAATACAAACCTATGGTAGAAAGCACAGTGTTTTCTGCTGAGAGACAAGGTTTTCCTCATTTGGGGAGAATAAAAAAAGCTGTTAAAGTAATATGTACTAGATAGATGCCACCCTGGAGACAATGACAAAGAGGCAAAACCAGATTTTAATCATCTACTTATAGTAATACTTCTAAATCAATATCATAGCAGTTTTTCCATGGAGACAAGTTTGTCAAATGAACAGAGAAAGCAAGTGTGTACACCTTCTTTCATTCACACTTAGTTCATTTTTTGTTTATATAGTTATCTATTACAATATTTTTCACATAACCGAGATTCAGTAAGTCAACCATTTATTTGTACAACATACATAATAGCACTTATTAAGCGTGTACCATATTTTCATGGCAGGGATAGTGGAGTGAAGGAAACAAACGCTCACGGATCTTGCATTCTGCTGGTACCAAGATAATTGTATTCTTTGGCTGCAACCTGCAGAATCAGCGATCATAAAATATATTCCTAAAATGTCCAGATGTAGGACTCAAAGGACTACAGTTTTAAAGTATGCTCTATCACTCACTTATTGTATCATCTGAGGTAATTGCTTAAACCTAAATTGGATTTAGGTTTCTTTACTAATAAAATAGCAATCTAATCAGAGTTAACTGATTAGCTTATTTGTGTAAGTGTGTGTGTAGAGGAAGTGTGAATATAATTTCCAAGATCATTGTTTGGCAATAATGAATACCACATAAGTGTTGAGTATTACTAAGAAAAATTGATCTAAATTGAACAAATAGTCTTTAATTTTAGAGTAAAGCATTGATGCTACAGGAGTCAAAAAATAAAACTTAAGGTACTAAGTGAATGAATTTTTGAGCTTTGTATTACTTATTCAAAGAAAATTGGCGAAGGAAAGAGAAAGTATAACTCAGTGATCTACCTGTTACTTTTCTCTCTGTCCTCAGTACCTACATCTGTAAAGAAGCTGTGATAAAACAACTTTTATTTTCATAGCAACTATTTGAAGATTAAGGAATGATTTGTGTGCAGTGTTTGGCATAAGGCTTGACTATGTGTAATTATTAAATGGTGACTATTACTGTTGTAACCTAATTACATTGAATCAACATTACTTAGATGGAATATTTAAAGGATGGAATTTAAAAATAATTTAGCAGGGGCTGGGGATTTAGCTCAGCGGCATAAGTGCCTGCCTTGCAAGCAGACAGTCATGAGTTCAGTCCCCAGTACCGATTAAAAGGAAAAAGACAAAAAAAAAAAAAAAAAATTAAAATAAAAAAAATAATTTAGCATAGATTTTACTTAAGTTTTTCGAACTTTTTTGTACATTTTAATGGAATGATAATTTTAATACATGTTATTATTTAACTAATTTTTGTCTTGCATTTTAACTCTGAAAGGATTTCAAGACCTTCTTATTCAGAATATTTCTATAAGCCATTACATTTCAGTCTTATACAAAGAAAAGGATAGGTTTAGCAAGTGTAGTTATATGCTCCTATTTTATAAACAACTAGTTGAAAAAAAAAAACCCTCTCAATTCATATTAAATGTTCCTGTTATACCAATAAAAAGGAGACAGTAAATTTTGTTGTCTCTGGAGACAAGATTTTACTCTGCAGTCCAGCCTGACCCTGGATTTACTTCGTAGCCTGGACTGGCCCCAAACTCACAGCAATCTTCCTGCCTCTGCCTCCCAAGTGCTAGGATTATGGCATGTGCCACCGGTAAATTTTGTCAGTCTCCAATTTTTGTCATAAAAAGAACTGATTTGTCAATTAATGGTTAATATAGTAGAAAAATTGTAACCATCCATCCTAAATCTATCCTTCATCACAGTTTGTTGCATTTTCAACACTGTTTGTGCTCAGTGCTTCTATATTTGTGATCTTTTTTTTTTTTTAATTAAAATGGTCTTTCTGAAAAACCCCTATCTTGTTTTGGAAACAAGAGTGTAATTTGCTTCGTAAAATGAGTTAAAGTTCTCTCCTTATTTTTCTATTCCCTAAAATGATTTATTTCTTATTTTTTAAAAAGTGAGGTAATATTCTCTGTTCACTGAATTGTCGCTATCATTTCTGCAAAACTGTCTAGGCAGAGTGTCTATTTTTAATTGTCATTTGAAAATTTAGTTTCTGTAAAACTGTTTTTTTTTTTTCTCATGCCTATATTGGTACTTCTACATTGGCACACATACACACAAAAAAAAACAATCAAAAGTTCAAAAAATCTTTTAAATCTATTAGCATAAAATCATTCAACTTACTCATTTATAATTTTAATCTGAGCTGACTCAATAATTATTTAGCCTTTTTGTTATTTAAGTTGAATCTCTCTTTTCTTTCTTACCAAAAGTTCCGTATTTTCAAAACTTGTGATATTATTGCTCCTTTCAAATTCAGTGATTTGTACCCTTACCTTAATTTGTCTCTTTTTATTTCTTGAGCTCTCTACCAGTGTTCTTTGTCTAGCTTCTGAGTTGCCCAACTCATTACTTACCCAAACTGTGTGAATTCATAAATTTCCATCTAAGTACTGTCTTAACCACATGTCATAATATTTTATATATAGTACCTTCAGTGCCACTTTCTCCCAATAAATGAGATACTCTTCATAATTTTTTCCTGATTTTTCTCTGTATTCCAATTCTTATGTATGCATATATATATATACTTGGTTAACATATATAAATTTATATACAGACAAATATATACAAACATTGACTTTTATATATGTATGTATGTATGTATATGCTGTCTTGTCTCTGTGTGTATATATTTGTTGCTGCTTTCTTCTATTATAAATTTCAGAACTGAAATTAACTTGACAGTAAGATGTATAACCATTGATTCCAATAATTACATTCTAGGAGTCGTCTAAAATACAAGGCCCAAAAACTTTTTATAGCATAAAATATTATATGCTGTAAGAATAATTAGCAAAAATGAGTTTTAAAATGTGTACATAAATTTAGGTAGTTAAATGAAGGGCAATTTCTCTACTTTTCCGAACACTAGACAGCTAATATTCTATCCTAGATTTAATGAAGGTTTCAAAATACTTTAATCTCTTAAAACAGCAGTCTACATTGTTTTGGTAAGAAGAACAAAATGAATTTCAATGACTCAGCAGGAACTTGAGAAAAGTTTTGCAAATATATTACCTATGATATCTTTTTGTTTTTATTAAAAAGAGTCATTGAATGCCAATGAGGGAAATTCTGGAAGACAGGTTAAAAAACAAAAGCTTCTTTCACCACATTTGCTAAAATTCATAAGATATAAATTGTGTTCCATGCAATATCAATTTGAGAACATATTTTAAATTTTATAATAATATCATTTTATTACAAAGAAAAAGAACTTTTTTTTTTTTTTGTCTTTTTGAGACGGAGTCTCGCTATGCAGTTCAGGCTGGTCTTGAGCTCACTTTGTAGCCCAGGCTGGTCTCTAACTCACAACAATCCTCCCACCTCAGCCTCCCGAGTGCTTGGATTACAGACGTGAGCCACCACGCCCAGCAAGAAAATATTTTTAATGTCCCATTGTCACTATAAATTAGAATGTTGTTCCAGTGCCAATAGAGCATAGTGATTGCTATATCCTGGTAGATTATAAAAAGAGAAAATTATAAGAAAAGGTTACAAATAAAAAGAATTTAATTTTCTAGTTTATGTGATGCATTTGTAAAAAAATCATAACCTTTTCCTTTTAAAATTTAGTTTTCTATTGAGTTCCAACTGATCTACAAATATATAACAGTCTCACATACTAGTAATTAAATGAATATATCAACCAAGAAATGTTTGTAAATATGATAGAGTATCAAAAGGCTAAAGCTTTTAGCCTCACCCTGACGATAACACTATTTGTGCCAACAAACAGATACAGAAGAAAAGCACGACTATTGCTTGAGGGTATGCTGCTTTATTTAAAACAAATTCTGGTTTATTATTTGTAAGGGTTCCTAGGAAACTTCCATCTAAGAACATTGTCTTAGCTCACTGTTGGAAACTGTTGTTTTTTTTAACAGTAACTCTGAAACTAGAAACTCAGTTAAAGAGTTTAACAGATAACACTGAGAAAGAAATTCCTTTTGTGATTGTGTTCTCCAATGTACCATATGTTTCACTTAAATTTGTATTTCTCCTTTTTCCTATATTTATCTTCCTCTATCTTTTTCTGTCCCACAGAAAAAATTATGACATCAACATCCAAAGGAATCCTCCGGCCATTTTTAATCATCTGCATTATCCTGGGCTGCTTCATGGCATGTCTGCTTATTTACATCAAGCCCACCACTAGCTGGATCTTGAGTCCAATGGAATCTGCCAGCTCAGTGCTGAAAATGAAAAATTTCTTCTCCTCCAAAACTGATTATTTTAATGAAACTACTATTCTGGTGTGGGTATGGCCATTCGGGCAGACCTTTGACCTTACATCCTGCCAAGCAATGTTCAACATCCAAGGATGCCATCTCACAACAGACCGTTCACTATACAATAAGTCCCACGCAGTCTTGATACACCACCGAGACATCAGCTGGGATCTGACTAATTTGCCCCAGCAAGCTAGGCCACCTTTCCAGAAATGGATTTGGATGAATCTGGAGTCACCAACTCATACTCCCCAGAAGAGTGGCATTGAGCACCTGTTCAATCTGACTCTAACCTACCGCCGTGACTCAGATATCCAAGTGCCTTATGGCTTCTTGACAGTAAGCACAAACCCATTCGTGTTTGAAGTGCCAAGTAAAGAGAAGCTGGTGTGCTGGGTTGTAAGTAACTGGAACCCTGAGCATGCCAGGGTCAAGTATTACAATGAGCTAAGCAAAAGTATTGAAATCCACACTTATGGTCAAGCATTTGGAGAATACGTGAATGATAAGAACTTGATTCCTACCATATCTGCTTGTAAATTTTATCTCTCTTTTGAAAACTCAATTCACAAAGATTACATAACAGAAAAGCTCTATAATGCTTTCTTGGCTGGATCTGTACCTGTTGTTCTGGGACCATCCAGGGAAAACTATGAAAATTATATTCCGGCAGACTCTTTCATTCATGTAGAAGACTATAACTCTCCCAGTGAGCTAGCAAAGTACTTAAAGGAAGTCGACAAAAACAATAAGTTATATCTTAGCTACTTTAATTGGAGGAAAGATTTCACTGTAAATCTTCCACGATTTTGGGAATCACATGCATGTTTGGCTTGTGATCATGTAAAAAGGCATCAAGAATATAAGTCTGTTGGTAATTTAGAGAAATGGTTTTGGAATTAACTTTTTCCATCATTTGCACATTTAGCAAAATATTTTGATGAACTGTCATCTAAATATTGAGGATAAGAAGAGAAACAATGTTCTGATTTTGTGTCACAGTTTATTTTTATTATCCTCTCATGGGTAATGTGAATACTTTGCTGGAGATAGAGATTTTTTAAGAACTCACAATTATCAACCATTCCATTTGGTTTTAAATTATCCTGTATATACCTAACTATGTGCATTGAAAAATAATTTATTCCTCATTATCATTTATAAACGTTCTTGTTCACATTTTTGTAGCTGTCTGTAAGTTGAGGATTCTGTTGTTGTTTCTACACTGATCAACTGTTCAGGCTATCTGGTAAATGAAAATGTACGATTCCCATTTTAAAGTATGAAAGATCTTTACTAAATATTATAATCTATAATTCCAAATTTGCACAGTTAGAAAAGAAAAATGCACCGTAACTGCATTCTAAGCTATATTACTTCAGAATTGAACACTGTATAATTATTTGATCTATTTTGTACCTGTTTACCACTTTGGTGAGTGTAAAGTTATTCATGCATTAAGTACGATATGAAGGAGAACTGTTCTATTCAGGAAGTTATTATGTTTCACATTTATTTTCATTAAGCTGACTCGCAAAAGCAGCCAATTATTCTTATGGTCTTAAAGTACTCGAGAATTCTTACATATCCAATTTGTTATCATTTTCAGTACCTGAGAAATAGTACCAATAACCCTTAAACAAATGTAAGATAATTCTCAATATTAATGCTATTTGTTGTGATAACAAATGATTTCTTCAAATGCCAATGAAAAGGATACCTAAAGGTACAAATTATATTTATAAATGTTACTATTTGAAATATAATTCCTAATTATTTATAAATTTAAGATATTTTTGAGGCCCTAATATTTCCAGCAGTTTTATTTGTCCATATAAGCAAATAGATGCTCATAACATTTGAAAATGCATCCTATCATTTAAAAGTAAATAAATAAAATTGTCAATGACAGGTTAAATGTCATAAAGCAGTGATCTACAAGAAACACAGGGGCCAGGGATTTAGCTCAGCAGCATAAGCGCCTGCCTGGCAAGCGTGAAGTCGAGAGTTCAATCCCAGGTACAAAAAACCCACAATGCTAGGATTCAGTGAATCATTTTGTAATGAATCAATGAATGGTATTGAAAATCACAGGAAGGGACAGTTGTAACTGAGAGATACTGATTGAACATGATATTTTGTATTACATCCTAGTAATTATCCATACATAACACATTTGACTTGGGTCTTCAGAGCTTTACTGAACCAACATAAGCCAGCACTGCATGAAATTTTTGAAGAATATATTCCTAAATTTTCATATACCTATAGAATTCTTCTATCATAGGCTAGAGAGGGGGAAATATGAACATAAACAAAAACAGTGAGAAAAGCTAAAGATTTTCAAGGAAAGCATCTTCCGAATCACTAATGCCTTTCTTTCACTCTTGCAAAACCCATCAAATTTATTAGAATGTTCTAAGGGCATTCCCTTGTCTCTTTTGTATTTATTTTAATAACCAAAGAATAATTTGTCTTCATGGATGTCCTCATAGATAAAGATCTCACATTTATTTTATTGTTATAACAGTCAGACTCATAATTTACACTTATCATTTTTTTAATCTAAAAGTTGGGATCTTAAGAACATGCATTGCCAATAAATTTAGAATGTACTTCCTTTTTTGTGAAAGCTGAAAAGCATTTTGCCTTGCTTTTACTAAAGTGAACAATGATTATTTCAAATTACTGCAAAACATGAGAGAAATTCCCTCTTTGATGACTATGAATTAAATCTCTTTTTTGGATTGTAACTATAATTCCGTGCTGATAATATGACCCAAGTCAAAAGTGTAAGGATTTAGCTGGTGTTGAAACCCATTAGCTATCCAAGACTAATAAATTTTCAAATTGCACAGTCAAACCAATGTGTCAACTGAACCCTTCAGTTGTAGCTCTATTGATCTTGAGTTTTAAGGATAGAAGGAATTATAGCAAGTTAATTCAGTCTTTTCCATTGAATTAACTGGGTTCAGAGATGATACGTATTAAAGTATACCTTCACACATATACACACAGAGACATCTGACCGAGTGACAGTAGTTAAAAGAATGTGGGATCCTCTCTTTCCATCGTTCCCACCTCATCATAGAAGGATTGCTGAATTCCTATAAGTGTAATTTTGTCTGGGACTAAATTGTGAAACTAAAAAGAAAATATACCACTTAAAATATTTGTTTCAAAATACCAAAAAGTATTGTGATCTGAATAAATACTAATTATGATAGACCTTAATAGAAATAAATACTATTATAGGCCTTACTAATAAGAATAAATACAGAATTATCACTATCTGTCAGTATTACTCTTTGGAAAAGACAGACTGTAGCAGCCACATATTTTATGAAAGTCATAAATCTGACAAAGTGAAGTAAAAACTTTAAAAATTATCTTGGTCACAACTAATATCAACTTAAAATTTTCATGTTTACTATAAAACTCCTGACAACCAAGTAAGTTTTAAAAAATCACAGAGTGTTTGTAATGTAAACTGACAAAATATTTTGGAATTATTTGCTAAAGCTTCAACTTCGTATCTCCAACTGAAGGTAAAATATGAAAAAAATAGGAACTGTGTATTGCTATTTTTTCCAGCTTTCAAATTGATTTTCATAAGTCTTGGGATAATCACCTAGACATTGTTTTTGTATAAAATAATATTTCTTTAAAAATCTGTAGATCCTGTGTTTGATCATATATTTGATTTCTTTGAATGCTTAGTTTCATTTTGGAGAGCTTCTTAAATTATAATGAAGTTGTTAAATATAGCAGATTTCAGAATCTACAGGATAAGCACAGTGTCTTAATGCAGGAGAGGATCTCAGAAATACTTGAATAAACAAGCTAACATTGCTGGTTGGCATGTAAAATATTATTAAAGTAGTGACCATATCAGCTCCTTGGTACTAATTGGAGTGATAGTCTACATTTATTTTATTGATCAGTTACTGCCTGGCAGATGAGTCATTATAGCCTCTTTTTCTTTCCTACTCCATTCTAAGACCTCCTGAAGAGAAATAACACTTCGAGAAATGCTGAATAAGATTTAAAACTTGTTAATGTTATATTTAAACATCAATAACACACAGCTTGTAGTAGAAATGAAAAGTAGTATTTAAGAAGAGTATAAGCAGCAAGCACTATGAATGGCAGATAGTTGTTACCAATCTATGAAGACAGAAATATAGTTTAATCCCCTGTAATTTCCTAACTTTATGTTACTGTTTTGCAGCAATGAAGATGTTTTTGTATTCGGGATGTTTGTCATACAAACATTTCTTTTGGAATTTTGAAAATGGATAAACTCCACTGCTACCAAATTGTCTTTTCTCTCAATAATCTATATTGTATAATCCATACTCATAAATATTTTACAAAAGTGCAACCTAACTGAGAGACATAACCTAGAAGTATAAAGAATGCTAGTCTAAGTTGTTAGTTCAACAAACTGTAATTGTGGAAAAGCCACTTAACCTCGCTGGACCTTTTTGAAGGAAGGTTCCTTCTAGCACTACTGATCTTTAGTTAATACATAGAGGCACTGGAAATGAAATTTCAAAGACCATCTCAGAATAATTTTTGGCAGTAAATATTCCAAAGAAATTTTCCTTTTATTTTTCTATATATACATTTAAAGTATAAAACTGATTATTTAAACTAATATATGAAATAATATAATTTATTCTTTATTGGAGTTTAAATCATAGCAAGTGCTCAATTAACTAAACTTTCTCCTTTTACTTCTCCTCCCTTAGCTGTCTACTGATATCTTTTATAACTCATTACTCACTGAGAATTTAATTGATTATAGAAAACAACCATAAATTGGGCATTATTTTAAAATATTTTAGATTTTTCTGTATATTTAAATTCTTATTACAGTAATCTAAAAACGCTGATTCAGAAATTTGGTAGAAACATTTGAAGCAATTTTCAGTGACAATGATACAGCAGTTTGAGTAATATGTGTAAGCTGATTTTGCATCCAGAAGTTTATTTATTTTTTGACTCATGACAAATACATGTGGATACATTTCATTTACAGTGAAAATATTTTGCTTTTTAAAAGTCTTCCTAATGTCAGTCTTCCTTCGTCTGTGTTACTGAAACAATGGTTTCTGCTTCAGTAGACCTAGAATCAATAGACATTGCTAACAGTACTGGTTCTTGAGTTAGTTCCATGCCACAGCAATCTCTTCTTACAAGTTTTTTTTTAATATTTAATCTATTTAATAAGATATACTACTATATTAGAAAAACTATCATATCATAGGCCAGTAGTTTTCAAATGCACACATTTCTTAGAGACTTTCTAGATTATCTGATTAAGAATCTCTTGAAAGATTGTCAAAAATATATGCTTCTGATTCTCTGGTCTGAGATAGGGTTAAAAGTTTGTACTTAAAAACTGACCCCACATGGTTCTGATGTCCGCATCCTACCTGCTAAATAGAGAGTGTCTATACTCAGGTTTAAGGCATTGCATTTCTTTAGATCACCTGGAACCTTTCTAAATACATCCGTAATTTCTCTTCTTCCAAAACCAATGCATCCTTTATTGCTAGTTATTTTATGCCTGGTACTGGACTCCTCAGTGAATGTTGTGATTTGAAGCACGTTACTCAGTTTCCAGGCATCCTTGCACATTACGTGTGGTTGGGAGCAGTAGTTCTCAGGTATGAATGCACAATAGAGTCATGCAAAGAGGGTGGTTTGTTTCTTTTTAACTATGAATGTCTAAGACCTATCTTAGGAATCAAATTCAATTGGTTTAAGATAGAGCACAGAGGTGCAGTTTTAGTCTCCATAAGTAATTCTGATGTAGCATCCTCTCTGGAAACCACCAGTCTACACATGGTGGGGTGCTTAACCTCGGGGAAGTGTTAGAAAAAGTTATACAAGTTGAAAACATATCTCTTGATCTCTTCTTTAGGTTTCTAACTGCATGTTTATGTTTTTCAGTGTAAAATTGGACTAGACAATTATTAGAATCCTTTACAAGCATAAAATTTTATGCTTCTATAATCTGCTAATCTTTTGCACATGTTGAAGAGCCTGCTTTACAGAGTTCCAGAGTCCATGAGTGCAAAAATAGAAAGATAATTTTCAGTTACGATGTGAAATATACGAGTTATAGCATCTACCTGTTAACACAGATGTATAATTGGATCCAAGTTTGCCTGGCTAGTTGTGTCCAAGTCACTTGACTTCTCTTAGCCTCAGAGCCTGCATACTCTTGAGGTGACATACCCTTGATGTGTGGTCTATAAGAACAAAATGAAATTGTCTTCAAAGAGGTTAAATCAGTATTTGTTACCTTTTTGGTGGGATGTTTGAAACTATACCCCAGCTCTGAACATTCTGGCAAATGCTCTACCACTGAACTATATCCCCTACCCCCTTTTCTTTTATCGTTGCAAAAGATAATTGAAAATTCCAGATATAGATCCTCAGTTTCATGTTTAAACTCTGAAGATGTTAAGCAGGTAACCAGGTAGATCTCTAAAACTTTAAACAAGCCTAAGGAATAGTTTTCAGGAGATGGGAAACAAATAAATTAGTGTGAAAACATTTATTCATGTATGTAATTGTTAAGTCACTGAGAGAGTGTGGGCACCAGGCAGCGGCAGTGAATAGGCATTGTGTGCATTACAAAACACATAGGCTGTTTATTCAAATAATTGGAAATCAAACAAACCTAATTTTCTCTCACTGTTATGAACAATCAGTAGAGTAATAGTCAATTTAGTTCATAACAGTTGACATAGCCTAAGTTCCAGAAGGAAACATCAGCAAGATTCTCAGAGATTATTTTATGGCAAGGAAATAAGACTTAGAAATATCCAATGACTTAATTTTATCCTTCACTTTAAAGCTTTAATAGTTTAGCAACAGAACTAGTCAATGACAGTTGGAAAAGAAAGTCAAATCTCCATCTACTTTTCAAGTGAAAAAACAAAAAAAATCATAAAATGTTATTTTTAAAGTGCTAGGATATAAATTCAGTCAACAAAAATGTATTTGTTTAATGATCAAAACTAAAATGATTGTTAGCCAGACCGTGATTAAGACTCTCCTAATTGCTAATTGCCTAATAAATAGAGTTATGACATGAGCAATCTGAACTGCTCATTAGCATAGTTTTTAAGCTATATTTGGCTAAAACAAAAAAATAAAGTAGACTTAAAGAAAAATTTTATTTTAATGTGTGAAAGAATGAATGATATTCAAAATAGTATTTTAAAAGTATTTTCTCATTGTATTTCTTGGAAATACATATTAGAAATGTTTATTTCATTTACATGTGTAGAAATCTTTAAAATGGAATTGTCTTTCTGAATTTTCTGGAAACTAAATAATTTTAAAACAGTGTTATGCCAATTATGTTAAATTTAAGATTTATGAAATTCTGTTGTGAACTTTCGCCACCACCATGTTTTAAAGGTGATTTCTACAGAGTACAAAACTGTAGTACTTGGTTCACTGTAATGACTTTTCTACCCATTGTTGCATTTCACTTTGACTAATGAGGGCTGAGGAAATAGAAAAGCAGCCTTGACAGAAAGCTTACCAAAGACTCAACAGGCAACCCTACATTAATCATTGTGTAAGATATTTGTACCAGAGTTACAACAGTACACCACCCAATCTTGCACTGTTCTCATTAGCCACTTTTAAATCCACAGTTGAGATGATCCTGAACGTATCATCTTTATCCAAGGAGAAATTACAAGAGGAGAGCTGACTGAGGTGGTACAAATGTCTGCAGTTATAGTAATGAGAATAAGTTTCTTGTCCTCTGGTATCTTCATCAAAGGCCTTTGAACAAACCTCTGTTATTTAGATTGTCTATGCAAAATTGGAAGAAGCATGCTTTTAAGAAAACAAATGAACTATCTTGAATATTTCATACATTACTTTAAAATAATCCAAGGACAAACTCTGTGTCATACTGCAGACAAGTACTTCATCTTCACTTATGAATGCTCTATATTTAATCATTATGAGCTCTGGAAGATTAACAGATTTTATGCCATTAAAATGGGAATAGGAAAAAGTAAAATTGATGGCATATTTCTATTCTTAAAAAGTGAAATATATGAGCTATTTTGATGATAGCCTTATAAATACAATACATATATATATTCATTTTTCCTTTAGTTCTATTTCTTTTTCTCAAAATCAGATTTGTTAGGCGTAAGGGATAATAGAATAATCATGACTATAAAAATATATAAAATTCTTAAGAAATAAATAATGTATGTCAGAAGTGAGACATATTTACCTGTAGAGATGAATCTGGTCAAACTTTTTGAATGACATTATTGTAATTAATTACCTTCACTGTAATAATGTGGTTTATTCTGAACATAAAACAACACGTGAATGTAGTAGGAGTTATTAAATGCAAAAAATAAAAACATAAATATACAAGTCTGTACCTAGACTCAGGTTCACAAAGCTGCAGAAAATTATATGCCATTGAGAAACAAGAAAATGAGAATGAAATGAGATTGTAATGCAAGGTGTAGTTTTCACCTGTGAAAATCTACTGTGAAATTTACTAGCAATTCTGAGCCACAGATTCCTCATCTATAAGCTACAGGTGATGGACTGATATTAAAATCACCAGAAAACTCTTTAAAATGCTGATACATTGATTAGAATTTCCGATTTCATCATATGGGCTGCCATATAGCCTTCTAGATTATTCCCTCTACTTCCTGCGTTCCATGTGGTTATGCTGCGTGAGCCACAAAAAAGGAGGGAAAAATTTAACAGACAATTTCTTATAGAGCTATGATTAAAAATTTGCTAAAAAAAGAAAGGTGCGGTGAAGTTCTACAAGTGAAGAGTTGGAACTTTGCATGCTTCCTCTTGACCTCATTTCCTCTAGTCTGTGTGTGTAGCACACATGCCAATATATTTTTAAGTAGTTCAAATGTAACTTTGAATCAAGACATAAATAAAGAGGTTAAAAATCACACTGAAACAGATGTGCCAATTCTATCCAATATGTGAATTGTAAGGGTCAGTAACCCTTAAACTATTTAGATGATAATTGTATGTTTTATTAATGTATTGTAATTTTGCATTATTGTATTGTCATATTTAAGCAAACTCCTAAAAATACCCTGAAACCTATTGCCAAATGTACAGTTTATTGGTTCATGTTATTTCTGATAAGAATTTAACTGCATTGTGCTAATAGTTGTTAATCCCATTAACTTTCTGTGGGTGTACTGTTGTGATGCAGACCTGATATGGTTATTGTAAGCACACTAATTAGTCACTTGGATTTTTATAGATAAAATCACACATTGACCAGAAATCACTTTTCTACTTATTTTTTTGTAGAGTATTTTTCCACACACAAAAGAACATGATTATTTTATATCAAACATCAGCTTTTCTTTAAAGTCTTATTTTAAAAGCCAATGCATGTTTGAAATAAGATGTTAAATATTATATTGCAATATTAAGATTGTTTATATTAGGTGAAAAATGCATGTAGTTGGTAATCATGCATCTTTGTGGGGAAATCTGTACTGCCAAAACACACAGCCTCGTCTCAATCTGTGAGCAGCATTCTACATCCTTTTAAAAGCCCTTTTTAATTATTTAGTAGAGGGAAAATGTTATTCTTAGTGCTATGAGCCAACAAACAATGTTGATTTGCTTTTTTTCTAACTTTGTGGCATTTATGCTAAAATTTTCCCAGAGAAAAAAATAGGAGTTATTGGAAATGAAATATAAAGAATAAAATCATTTGTTAGAAAATAATACAATTCACTGTACAACAATGTATTTTTATGAAGATATAGAAAAATCATCTGAAGCATTTCTATTCTATGAACACAATATCCTGACAGCTTTTATAATCAGAAATTCCCTCTCTCCCTCTCTCCATCTCTCCCTCCCTCCCTCTCTCCCTTTCTCTCTGTCTCTCCCTCTCCCTCTGTCTGTCTCACTTCTCTCTCTCCTGCTGAAATCAATACTACTGCCAGGGGAAAGGGGGAACACTTCAGGTCAGGTCTGCACAACACTAACATACTGAACCTAAGTGATTCTTTTAAATGCAGGAAGAATATGAATATCAGTTAGACATTCTTCTCCACGCTGATAATTTAAGAAGTCTTGAATATAGCAAAAATCACTCCATTCAGTGAAAGGTGCTTTTTGTTTGTTTTATTTCATTGACTGTTTGTTTTGATTTTAGAAAATATAGTTGTGCATTTAAAAGTTTTTAATTCCACCCAAATAATATGCACCTACCAACCACCCCTTACCCAAATGGAATTAGTCACTGATCATATCTTAATGCTAGAACATTGTTTTTTGTAGCTTAAAAAATCAATATTAGCATTTATGATATTGCGAGATAATTTCATTGCTATGCTATTAAGAGACTGGCATTCATATTTATGCATGTATTTATTTATTTATTTATTTAGAGAATTGGCTCCTCTATGCTCAACTTTCCCAGTTTCAGTGAAGTTAATATAATATTAAGAGAATTGGACTCTAGCTGCTATTCCAAGTCTAAATCAGGTTACTGAATCTTGTATCCTTGAAGTACAGCATTAATTCAAATGACAAGTAGCCAATCCCAGCAATGTAAAGATAAATACAGCATCCAAGATGTGGTATGTGTGTGGCATTCAGCAAACATTGATCTGGGCTCTAATTTTGATACCATGTTGTTCCATTTATTGATCAAACCTGTAAATAAAATAGTATTTTATGGCAGCTAAACAAATATTTTAACAAGCCATGAAAGGCAAGATGCCACAGAAGACCTGTATATTCACTTTTTGGAGAATTTACATTTTCCACAGTTTAAACTGGAGATACCATTTGAAGTTTCCTTTATGTCATCACAATGTAAATGACATTTCTGCTCATAGAGATCTTTCTGGGCTTATAAATATATTGTGTGACTGCTATAATTTTGTGAAAAAATTTTAGTAATTAATAGTGACTTCTGTGATCTCTGCTATAATTACAAGGCAGAAATAAATGTACAAAAATTTTGAGCCTGTTGTGTGTATGAACAAATTTTTCTTCAATCGCACTTCACATACTCAGTGTAAGTACCTCACTGATTTACCACTGGATTTGTTCCCAGAATGTGTAAATAATGATGTTCAATTCAGGTTGAAGAATTCCTGTAATGTGAATATTTAAAATAAAAAATTTCAAGAGTATAATACCTAGTGCTGGTTATTTATAATGTTCATTCAATGTAACATTCAATATCATTCACTCAAGAAGATTGATTTTCATTTGCATATAATTAAATTCCCTAAATATTTTGAACTAAAATTTTAAAAGCACATTTTCCAAATTATTCATTCATTTTAAATATCATGTGAAAAAAGATTAGCCTGTATACCTACGTCAACTGTGCTGTGTTGATTTGTGATCCTAATTCTGCAGTGTTATAATGGACTTGGGGGTGCTGTTAGACGCATGAGCAATCAGCCTTTACCTAGCACAGGAACAGGAGAAGCTATTCATTCTGTTTTCTCTAAGCTTTGAAGAGGTCTCATCTTGCCCCAGCTCCCCAGCACTCTACATACTCTCCTTATCCAGACTTACAGAATCAGCAGTAGCCGAAGGTCCCACATGTGTCTACTTACTGTGAACTGCTGCCTGCGCCATGTATCACATCTTCCAACTGCCTGCTGTCATGTAACTCCCTGTAGAACCTTTACACATGCAGTGCACTATGAGAGCATTTCAACACCTATTTCCTCCTTTTTTCCTTCACTCACCTAACAATACTGTAATGAATTAAGTAGCCTAAAGCAAAAAAGAGAGAGAGAGAGAGAGAGAGAGAGAGAAATCCACTTGATTCTTTCTTTTCCTTTCCTCTACATCAAATTGACCATGAAATCGCTCTTAAATACATCCTTTGCCATGCACCTGTTAAAAAGCAATGCCCTTAAAAATTTACTTCAAACAAAATAATAACTTAAAGCTTCCAATATCTACACTCCACATAGCCCCAGGTAAAAATACTGAAAGAATGATAAAGAATTCAATTACAGTGTGTGTTAATCAGTATTCTTTTAAAAAGTCATATACTTATCAAATTTTTCATTGGCTTTTCACTAGTTGCAGCTAAGTTCTTTGTTTGGTAACAGACCACAGACTGTCTTTTAATGTTTGATTTCTGCTACATTTTCTAAGCTCTTTGTTCCTTCCTTGTTTTGTACTGTGAAATTTGCCATTCTGTGATTTCTCCCACATCTTCAATAGCAGGCAGCCTTTTTGACTGGTAAAGCTACAACATTCTTAAACTACACTCAAGGTTCACACCTGGGATGATACAATATATATTCTAGATGTAACACATATTTCAGAGATTTTCAAAAATCAAGCGAGTAGGTTAGCTGATTAGAATTTCATTAAAGAAGTGAGATGTGAAATAGTCTTTGTAGAAAAATTTAATTAGACAAGAAGAGAATAAATCTATATAGATCTTTCAATGAGGATATAAAAAGCCTTGGAGATATGAATAAACCTGAGTGATTTGACTGTCACATTGATGAAAGCTAAGGCATTAGAATTTTAAAGAAAGTTAAAATACAAGGAACTTGACACTACAATTAATGAAGGTAGACTAGGTTCACTGACTTTGAATTTGTTTTATACTGCAGCATGAAATAAAATTTTGAAAATTTACAATCAGAGACACTGTGCACATAGCCACAAACACATCTTTATAATAATCTAAGTCATTAAAAATGTAAACAAGCATCATAATGTTTCATCCCCCCTCAAGTACCATTCCATCGTGTGCCAGTGGGTTGTAGCTTTCTTTGCTGAAGAGCAGCTGCATGACGTGGCAGATAAAATGTTTGGGCTCTGGGTCTGGATTGTTGATACTCAATTCTCAGTTTTCCCCGGCCTCTGAAATCTTGGCAAAGTTATTTAACTTCATTTCATTTGCTTTGTACAAAATCAGGAACAATAACAGCATCTTCACTGTAAGATTGTGACAAACACTAAATGAGTTAGCTAGGGTGCAACTCACTGGCAGCACATGCACGGAGGATGCGTCAGGCCCTGAGACAGATACTCAGCAACATAAAAACAGATCGAGTTATTATGCATAAAAGATTTACAGCTCTATCTGGTATGGCATTTACTAGCTTAGCTATCATTTTAAAACCAGTATGGGTGTTTTCTTATGCCTCTTTTCTTTAGTTTTCCCAATTACTATTAAACTGCCTTCTTATCAAAATATCTTGTTTTACTAAAAACTGGGGGCTGGGGATTTAGCTCAGCGGCATAAGCGCCTGCCTTGCAAGCAGGCAGTCGTGAGTTCCATCTCTGGTACCTATAAAAAGGAAAAAGACAAAAAAAAACAAAAAAAAAACTGTGTTTTTAATAAACCACCACAGCTTTATTCTTAGATAAACTGAGGAGGTTTTCATTACAGACTAGACTCCAAGCACATTATTAGAATTATTCCTAGATACAGGAAAAATGTTGGATTTTTGATAACCTACTCTCGGTGGTCAGGTCCTCTGAATCAAACAAACAAACATGCTACACGTAGTTCAGCCTGGGCTTGGGAAATCCATATTGAACATAAGGCTGTGATAGTGATAAATTACCAGACGTGCAATAGCCTTTTTAGACTAGACCTGATTTGGGAAAAACTGAAAACTTCTTTCCAAATAGGCACTTTTTGTATTAGTTTTTCCCTGTATTTAACCTATAAAAAGGAATTTTTAAAAATTGTAAACTCTTTAACAATAGATATGTTGTCAAAATTTCCTAGAAAAATAAACCCAAGTTGAGGAAAACAGCAGTAACATAATTATTTACAATATACAATATGGTAAACGGCCAAATGTGTTTTGTAGGTTCAGTGTCTCTCTGAGATTGCCAGATTCTGCCTTTATGTTAAAAATTAAGCACAAATTCTATAAGCAGATTTGAAACGGATTTTAATTATCAAAACAATAGGAAATTCAAGTTGAAGTGCTATTTTACATTCGAGTTTAGAAACATAAGAAAAATTGTACAGCCATTTGGCCATTTATTAAATTGGCCAATACGTTATTTTTTTAGTATGACTATGTTTGCAAATGATCATTCACAATGAAAACTCCATCAAAGGGTGTCCTTTAAATCTGGATCCCAAATTACTCTAACACCAAACACTCACTCTTTGTGTTGCTCATTGAATAAAAGTTGGGTTGGCAGTCAAAAACATCTGAAAACAGCTTTGGGACATCCTTTTGTCAGAGATTCACAAGCACTTCGCTATGTTAAAGTTCATTAAGAAATTTGTTCAATTGTATTTAACCTAATATATTTAAAATTTATTTTACTCAGAAGCTGGTTTTCTATAATGCTAATTTATATTCCGGAAAAGTAGCAGACAACCAACACTTTTCAAGAAGTCCTTTTCTAATGCTGCTAATGATGTAATACAAGCCAGTTACAGTAACACAACTGATGAGTCCGACTGCCCCTTTTCAACACCTGCCTTTTCTAATTGGATCATGATGTGCTCTCGTCTGGCCTGACCTAAGAAAAGAGAGTGAGTGACACTAGATTCACTTTCTGTAGTCAATCTGGTTAACTACAGTTACTTCAAGGCTAAACTCCACTGGTTTGTAATGCTAACACAGGAAACATAACCTAAATAATTAATAAGGCCAAAATCTTACTAATAACCAAAGATAGTGATTATATAACAAAAGAGATCGTTAACTGAATTAGCCTCTAGATAAGTCTCTGACGTGTACACAATATTCTTGAAGCTCCTGATTAGAGAAAGAGCAAAAATCCTGAGCTTCCCAGTATCGCTTAGCTTGATGAACTCTTTACTGCTATAAATGTGCACCCGTCTGTTTAGATCCAGAAATGTACTCCAGCGAAGCTTCAAGCAAGTGATGGAGTGACCTTCACAGTTCATTGCCATCAACTCAGTTTAGGGTAAATATTTCTCAAAGAAGAGCAATATTAACTGTTACCAATAGAGACAAATTTGCTCTGCCTGAGACACACTTTTAAACAAGTAGCTATGTAATTAATATACAGAAAAGTATTTATCAAAAATAAATTATTTACAATATTTAATAAGCATCTTAAAAATTTGATATGCAATTTTTAATCTTTTTACTAAACTTTGGGATATCTACTTTTAGAAGATCTTTCTCTTCAAACTAAGCTATCAAAAATAAAAATAATTGCTTTCTTTATTATAAGGAGTAAAAAAATAAACAAGTCTCAATATAATCAGCATTGTAATGTAAAAAAAACACTGCAAACCATGTATTGTTCATTTTCTTCATTTCTGGGGAAAAATATCTGACACCCATAATTTAGGGAAGAGTTTTATTTTGGCTCACGGTTCTAGTCCTGGTGCTGGCTTCAAGCACAAAAGGTGCCGTGGAAGAGTGTGGCAGAGGAAGCGGGGCAGCCCAGGGCAGCCAACGGCAGAAAAGAGGGGTGCCAGGGAGAAAGAGAGCCGCAGGCTTCATGCACCCTGTGATCCACCGCCTCTGACTAGGCTCTCTCACCCAACAGGACTTGTAGCTATGGATTCATCACTGGGGGTGTCCACCGCTGAGTTTAGTGCTCCCAGTCAGCACTCAAAAGCCCATCTCGGAACTGGACCTAGAGCTACACACTATTGTCTTCTCTGTCTGCACATCTGCATGCATGTTTTGAGCATGTATCAATTTAGAAACTAAAATGACATGAAATAGGGCTGATTTTTTTAAACTGGTTTTTAAGTATACCCTTTCTATGCTTAAATGATGAGGATTTCTATGGCTTGGATAAGGGCCTGCCAAATGACTGTTTTCTAAAAGTGGTCATTCAACAAAGAGACAGTACCTTTAATAAAATCTACAAGTGAAAATTTAATATGCTTTTCACCTGCTATATAACAAAGCTTCAGAATCACTGTTTAGAATTTTCCAGTGGATAAAACAAAAATAAGACAATTTTAATTAGTCTGAGATTTTAAATCTCTAATTTTGGTACACTAGGCTCCTCAAGTTTTACTTAACAATGGAAATATATAGGGTAAGAATTTTTTTTTTTTTCTGAGTCTTGCTTCACTGCCCAAATTGGCTTCAAGTTCCTTGGCTTCAGCAGTCCTCCTGGCTCAGCCTCCCCAGTAGGGAAGAAATAAAAGCTACAGGTACATGCTACTGCACCCTGAACAAGGGTAATA